TCTATTCAAAAGCTGGTAAATGGGAAAACTGGACAAGTACCATGTAAGAGTAACAATCGACTCTTAATGTAGTTTCAGATGTAAAAATTAACTTTAGATGGATCCAAAAAAATGAAGAGCTAAAATCTATTAAACCCTTAAAAGAAGAAGAATATAAGGGAGCTGGAGGCATGGCTCCAGTGGCACAGTGTTTGCTTGGCATGCATGAAGCCCTGGGTTCGATCCCCATCATCACCAGCAAAGGGAAGGAAAAAAACCCTCCATGTTGGATTCAGCAAAGATTTCTTGAATATGAAAAGAAGCAAAGGTGGCAACAACTATAACAAAAACCAGAACACCTGACCTTCACAAAAATTAAAAACTTTTTTTGTTGGTTATGGGGCTTGAACTATGGGCCGGGGTGATCTTCCTGAGCTCTTCAGCTTAAGGTGAGCGCTCTATCCCCTGAGCCACAGCGCCACTTCCGGTTTTCTGGTGGCTTTTTGCAGATAAGAGTCTCAAGGACTTTCCTGCCTGGGCTGGCTTTGAACCTCGATCCCCAGATCTCAGCCTCCTGAGTAGCTAGGATAACAGGTGCCAGGAAAAAATTAAAAACTTTGTACATTAAAGGATACAAAAAGTGAGGGGAAATATAACCAGTAGAATGAGAGAAAACACTTACAAATCATTTATCTAGTGAGGGATTAATTAATATCCAGAATATATTAGAAAAAAAAAAAAAACTCCTACAGTCGAGCACTGGTGGCTCGCATTTGTAATCCTAGCTACTCAGGAGGCTGAGATCTGAGGATCTTGGTTCCAAACCAGCCCAAGCAGGAAAGTCCATGAGACTCTTATCTCCAATATAACCACTCAGAAAACCAGAAGTGGCGCTGTGGCTCAAGCAGTAGAGTGCTTGCCTTAAGCTGAAGAGTGCAGGGACAGTACCCAAGCCCAGAGGTTCAATGCCCACAACTGACCAAAAAACCCAACAACTCCTACAAACCAACCGTAGAAAGAGCACAGTTTAGCTGGGCACAGTGGTGCATGCCTGTAATCTCAGCTATTCATGAACCAAAGCAAGAGGATCATGAATGTGACAGACCAAGGTTAGCAAGACATCTCAAAAATAAATAAATAAAGGTGGGCTGAGGCTGCAGCTCAAGAGGCAAGGGCGACTGCCCGGCAAACATGAAGTGCCTGGCTCAATGCAATTCAAAAATGGAAAAAGAACTTGAACAGTATGTAAACTGTATTAGGCATTATAGGCAATTAATTGAAGCCACATGCCAGTGGTTCACATCTGTAATCCTAGCTACACAGAAGGCTAATATCTAGAGGATTGTGATTAGAAGCCAGGCTGGACAGAAAAGTCCTCAAAAGATGCCATCTTCAAGTAGCCAGTAAAAAGCTAAGCTGGAGGTGTGGCCCAAGTGGTAGAGCACCAACTGTGAGCAAGGGCAAGGCACTGAAATCAAGCTCCAGAACTGGCCAGAATTCCTAGTGGCTCTTCGCTGTGATCCTAACTACTCAGGAGGCTGAGATCTGAGGGTTGAGGTTTGAAGCCAGACTGAGTAGAAATGTCTGTGAGACTCTTTATCTGCAGACTTGAAGTAAAAGCCTGCTCCACCAATCACAAGCGGGGTGACCCTGGGAAGCCCAGGTTTTCTTTTTTTTTTTGTCGGTCATGGGACTTGAACTCTGGGCCTGGGCGCTGTCCCTCAGCTCTTCAGCTCAAGGCGAGCACTCTACCACTTGAGCTACAGCGCCACTTCCGGTTTTCT